GACAGACAGACAGAGAGACAGACAGACAGAGAGACAGACAGACAGAGAGACAGACAGACAGAGAGACAGACAGACAGAGAGACAGACAGACAGAGAGACAGACAGACAGAGACAGAGAGACAGAGACAGAGACACAGAGAGACACAGAGACACAGAGAGACACAGAGAGACACAGAGAGACAGAGAGACAGAGAGACAGAGAGACAGAGAGACAGATTTTTTGTTGTTATAGATTCAGCTGCTGGGAATAAGTTCCAAGTAGCACGGGCTATGGTGAGCCCGTAACTTACCTGGCACAGGAGCGGTGCTGAAACACGAATGGAGAGAGAGAGAGGAGGAAAAGAAGACGAAGTCAATGACAAGCCGCACTAACCGCGGGGGACAGCCGGGAGAGACGCAGAAGAATATCTAAACTCAAAATAATACCGACCTAATTATACACAATTATGACAGTTTTATTTTTCTACCAGTAAAAACTTCCTTAAACACACACACACACACACACACACACACACACACACACACACACACACACACACACACACACACACACACACACACACACAGGCAAATAGAATTTAATGTTAATAAATGCCATGTTATGGAATGTGGAATAGGAGAACATAGACCCCACACAACCTATATATTATGTGAGAAATCTTTAAAGAATTCTGATAAAGAAAGAGATCTTGGGGTGGTTCTAGATAGAAAACTATCACCTGAGGACCACATAAAGAATATTGTGCGAGGAGCCTATGCCACACTTTCTAACTTCAGAATTGCTTTTAAATACATGGATGGCGATATACTAAAGAAATTGTTCACGACTTTTGTTAGGCCAAAGCTAGAATATGCAGCAGTTGTGTGGTGCCCATATCTTAAGAAGCACATTAACAAACTGGAAAAGGTGCAAAGACATGCTACTAAGTGGCTCCCAGAACTGAAGGGCAAGAGCTATGAGGAGAGGTTAGAGGCATTAAATATGCCAAAACTAGAAGACAGAAGAAAAAGGTGATATGATCACTACATACAAAATAGTAACAGGAATTGATAAAATCGATAGGGAAGATTTCCCGAGACCTGGAACTTTAAGAACAAGAGGTCATAGATATAAACTAGCTAAACTCAGATGCCGAAGAAATATAAGAAAATTCACTTTCGCAAACAGAGTGGTAGACGGTTGGAACAAGTTAGGTGAGAAGGTGGTGGAGGCCAAGACCGTCAGTAGTTTCAAAGCGTTATATGACAAAGAGTGCTGGGAAGACGGGACACCACGAGTGTAGCTCTCATCCTGTAACTACACTTATGTCGGAAAATCCGACACCATTTAATATCATACAGATAATAGCTGCTGTATTACCAACAAGTTAACCATAGAAAACGTAACTTGTAGTGGAATTACCGTCTATAGAAAACGGGATATCATCACCACATACTATTATAATTCACCAGCTATTCTGCTGGGAATTATTCTTAAATACATTAGTCTTTGGACTTTACCATCATAAAAACATCTTATATAAATTAACTTAATTATCAATATTAAAGTAGAGTAAATGTGACCCTTCTATCACGTTCTGAAATCTGGACAATGTAAGCCAGGCGTCAGAGTGAGGAAGGAGGGCAGCCATTGTTTATATGAGACCAGAGGCTCACACGGGAGCAAATTCGGCTCCTGTTAAATTTACTTGGACGTAGTGTTATGGAACCCAAAGGTGTACCATTGTCAACACGCTGTCTACAAATACAAGTTAAGTGTCTATCCGAAACCCGTTTATCATTCATTTATGGCCATTAATGTCAGGATATAGGGTGACCCGGTTAGATCGCGAAATAGCCTCAAACTAAAGGTAATTAAGCCAGGTCTTTAATGTTCCATGTACTGTTTTCTCTGATATACTTGTCATATATAGGTATCTGGCTTCACAGCTAGCGCACTTTTGACAGGTCAAGACGAGGATGCAAGATTTGTGCACCAGTTACTGGGTGATATGGAAGCTACCTCAAAGAGGATAATTTGGTGTCTACACCCTAGTTATACCTGGTGGACTAACCTGCTGTACTATAAGATAAGGAACCTCTTCAATGTTTAATAATGTGTAGTTAATACTGTAGTTTGATTGGCTGCATATATATAATTTAATAACCCCCCCTAATGTGTAGAGGATCGATTTGTGAGATTAAGAGATTATTGCAGAAATACAGTCCACTTAACATTATACAAATTGCTTTCGAAGTATATAAATTAACGTAAATATAAATTCATATAAATTAAATAAATATAAATCTCACAGGTCGGTTCCCACAACTTAGGTAATTACACGGAGCCGGTCGCCGAGCGGACAGCACGCTGGACACCTGATCCTGTGGTCCCAGGTTCGATCCCGGGCGCCGGCGAGAAACGATGGGCAGAATTTCTTTCACCCTATGCCCCTGTTACCTAGCAGTAAATAGGTACCTGGGAGTTAGTCAGCTGTCACGGGCTGCTTCCTGGGGTGTGTGTGTGTGGTGTGGGGGAAAAATAGTAATAGTAGTAGAAACAGTCGATTGACAGTTGAGAGACGGGCCGAAAGAGCAGAGCTCAACCCCCGCAAGCATAACTAGGTGAATACATCTCGGTGAATACATCTAGGTGAATACACACACCTCGCGGCTGAGTGGACAGTTCAAGTTCAAGTATGTTTATTGAGACAAGAAAGAAATACATCTCAAAGGGATAGAGTAGCTTAGGCTATTTCTACCTCCTCCCCCCCTTCTGGGGTGTTCACGGCGACAGCGTTCTGGGGTCGTAGTCCTAAGGGGCAATCGACTTGAGAATGGTCCAGGACGGACCGAAACGTCGTCGTCCCTTCAACTTCTAGTGTGTAGTCTGGTCAACTAAGGGGCCTGGGTTCGATCCCAGCATGCAGAGGCAGAAACAAAATGGGCAGAGTTTCTTTCACCCTGATGCGCCTGTTCACCTAGCAGTAAATAGGTACCTGGGAGTTAGACAGCTCCTACAGGCTGCTTCATGGGGATGTGTGTATACGATAAATATATGTAGTAGATATATAATACAGGAAAAATAGATTGGTTAGAAAGGCGGGGTCCAAGAGCTAATAGCTCGATTCTGCAGATACAAATAGTAAATACACACGCGCGCACACATTTATCCGCATAATTAATTCTGTTGATGTTTTGAATATAAAGAACCCGGATGTTGTAAAAGAAAATGGGGGAGGGGAGAGGGGGGGGGGGGGGGGGGTAGTTGTGATCTAGGGTGAATATTGTCAGTCACGTATTGACATGTTTGTGTATTATTTGTACTTACTATTTATGTCTACAGGATCGAGCTGTAGCTCTTGGATCTTTTGTTTCTAACCGTTGGTTGTCTAATGTACTGATGCTGACCTATTTTTCATTCGGTCATATTCACTACATACATGCATTTCACCTTCCCCTCCCCCCCCCCAGCAAGCAGCCAGTAGCAGTTGTCTAACTCCCAGGTACCTATTTACCGCTAGGTGAACATGTGCATCAGGTGGAAGAGACACGGCCCAATTGTTTCTGCCTCGTCGGAATCGAACCCTGGCGTGTGTGTGTGATTAATATTTGTATTTACTATTTGTGTCAGCAGAATCGAGCTACTCGCTCTTGCTAACCAATCTATTTTTCCTCTATCATATCTAATACCTATATTTCTAAAACTATTTACTGCTAGGTGAACAGGCGCATCAGGGTGAAAAACTCGGCCCATTTGTTTTCGACTCTGCCGGGAATCGAATTCGGGCCCTTAGGATTACGACCCCCGAGTGCTGTCTACTCAGCTGCGAGGCCTTACTGTGTGTGTATGTGTGTGTGTGTGTGTGTGTGTGTGTGTGGGGTATGTAAACAAAAAATCATTAAAAGAGTTTAAAACATAAAAAGATAAATATGCATTTTAATTTTAATTAACCGCGGCGTTCACCACACACTTGTTCATACACAACTTCCTATCCTGCTATTGTACAGGAAACAGTACTGTTTGTCCCACGAATACTCACGAAACAGTACTGTTTGTCTCACGAATACTCACGAAACAGTACTGTTTCCTCCACTATTGCACACGAAACAGTACTGTTTGCCCCCGCCGTTGCTCACGAAACAGTACTGTTTGCCCCCGCCATTGCTCACGAAACAGTACTGTTTGCCCCCGCCGTTGCTCACGAAACAGTACTGTTTGCCCCCGCCATTGCACACGAAACAGTACTGTTTGCCCCCGCCATTGCACACGAAACAGTACTGTTTACCCCCGCCATTGCTCACGAAACAGTACTGTTTGCCCCCGCCATTGCTCACGAAACAGTACTTTTTGCCCCCGCCATTGCTCACGAAACAGTACTGTTTGCCCCCGCCATTGCTCACGAAACAGTACTGTTTGCCCCCGCCATTGCTCACGAAACAGTACTGTTTGCCCCCGCCATTGCTCACGAAACAGTACTGTTTGCCCCCGCCATTGCTCACGAAACAGTACTGTTTGCCCCCGCCATTGCTCACGAAACAGTACTGTTTGCCCCCGCCATTGCTCACGAAACAGTACTGTTTGCCCCCGCCATTGCTCACGAAACAGTACTGTTTGCCCCCGCCATTGCTCACGAAACAGTACTGTTTGCCCCCGCCATTGCTCACGAAACAGTACTGTTTGCCCCCGCCATTGCTCACGAAACAGTACTGTTTGCCCCCGCCATTGCTCACGAAACAGTACTGTTTGCCCCCGCCCTTGCTCACGAAACAGTACTGTTTGCCCCCGCCATTGCTCACGAAACAGTACTGTTCGCCCCCGCCATTGCACACGAAACAGTACTGTTTGCCTCCACTATTGCACACGAAACAGTACTGTTTGCCCCCACCATTGCACACGAAACAGTACTGTTTGCCCCCACCATTGCACACGAAACAGTACTGTTTGCCCCCACCATTGCACACGTAACAGTACTATTTGCCCCCACCATTGCACACGAAACAGTACTGTTTGCCCCCACCATTGCACAGGAAACAGTAGATAACTTGAGCGCACACAGTACACAGCTGTGGAGGAGGAGGAGGAGGAGGAGGAGGTAGACGGAGCCTCCCCACCGCTGGCTACAGGTAACTGACCCTAATGAACGCGTGCTGGAGTTGCCAGGTATGTCTCTCCCTCTCACTCCTGACCTCTGGTGGTGGTTGCCGGCGATGAAAGGCGGCCCCAGTTCTCACCATAACAATATATACATTACTCTGGTAACTGGTGGTTTGGAGTGCAGAAATTTACATCAATATTTGCTATATAACATTAGAGCCTCGAATATCTACTGAGGAATTGTCTGCTTGTCTTTCCCAGCGTGCTGTAACTCAGTGGTATATTCGACGATTTATTATTAATCGTGGACATCAAGAGATATATATGTATACCGAGAGGCGAGTTTCGTGTCTTAAGGCGCGCACACACACACACACACACACACACACACACACACACACACACACACACACACACACACACACACACAGTTTACCTTAGTCGTGGACCACGTTCAGGACTAAAGTATTCTTACCGATTGGTCTGTAAACTATTGGGACGGCCTTGATAACCCTCAAGAGGTTGAAAGGGCTCGAATCCAAGACCCAAACTAATCGTAGTTTATCGTGAGATTAGCGTAGTTGTGTATGAACCAGCTGGAACACGTGGCTATGTCTCGTTAACATCTGGGAGGAGCCATCTGGTGCGTGACACACACACAAGCTGCGAGGAGAAACTCTTAAGAGTTCCCAGCGACAAGAATGCCTTCCAGGACCACCGGGAGCGTGTCAGATGACGGGAGTCAAACATACATATATTATGAATGGTAGAGGACCGTGAGACATGGACGTAGTCATTAATCCGGGCCGTGTGCCTCCATGCACAGCCTGCTTGATCTGAATGCCGAGATATGGCCAGATTAAAGCCACAATCTTATGAATCAGAAGCCTGATGGCTGTATTACTGGGATGTGACACAGTTTTGTCAGCTGTGTCGGTCTCTGGGTTATGTCTGTGTGTCAGAGATGTGCAGACTACAGCTGGTGACGTACAGACTACAGCTGGTGACGTACAGACTACAGCTGGTGACGTACAGACTACAGCTGGTGACGTACAGACTACAGCTGGTGACGTACAGACTACAGCTGGTGACGTACAGACTACAGCTGGTGACGTACAGACTACAGCTGGTGACGTACAGACTACAGCTGGTGATGTACAGACTACAGCTGGTGATGTACAGACTACTACAAGAACAATACGGTCAACTTGCTCATGGAGAACTCTCCTGAGACCAAGGGACACTCCTTGAAGTAAAAGTAACGTGGTACTATACCTTCACACGCCCACTTGAGGGACTGTCAACCCAACGACCTCGTTATACAGGCAAAACAACGCCTCTAATCAAATCGCCTGACAATGCCCAAACAACATGGCTCTATCAGAGAATTTATAAAATCTACATGTAATCAGACAACCCGTTCTCGCACTTTCGTATAGTCAATATTGACTTATTAAATACGTGCATATGTGACATACTAGTTTATTGTGAATATTTTAGTTTACCTTGAAAAGCTTCATAGAAAACACCGACCTTACCTAACCTTCTTAGTATGTTAAGATAAGCATCTTATTGCTTCGTAATTACAATTATTACTTAATCTATTATAGGTATAGGTTAAGTAATAATTCTAATTACGAAGCAATAAGATGCTTATCTTAACATACTAAGAAGGTTAGGTAAGGTCGGTGTTTTCTATGAAGCTTTTCAAGGTAAACTGAAATATTCACAATAAACTAGTATGTCACATATGCACGTATTTAATAAGTCAATATTGACTGTAAGAAAGTGCGAGAACGGGTTGCACCAGATCATCATATAAGCGCCAAGTGTGAACTATGTGATATGTTAAGGTCTCACACCCTCACCCATTATGTTCTTGATTGTCCGGCGATTAATGTATATATAGAAACACTGAGATAAGGACTGTTCTTGAACAAATAGCCTGGATGTGTCACAACGGAAAGGGTTGATGATATTCTGGAGAGAAATAAGAATTTTGCACCAAGACTGTAACTTTTGTTGAATTGTCTGAATGTCTATTACAACTTATGTTTATGTACCTAGTCATAAAAGTATTTGTGTGTACGTCTGGTGTCATACTGTATGTGTACAGGAAGAAATGTATATGCTTATTAACCAGAATGTTCAGTAATATGTAGATTGTGATGTGTGTATATATAAACACGTACTGAACGGGGTGAGAATAGTTTGAGCTACCTCATCCCTTTGTGTGTATTTATACCTCAATAAACACTTAGGCGACGGTTAGATTAGGTGTTAAGGTTACGTGGAAGTCTTTACAGAGTTGCGATTCGAACAGAGGTCGTCATCGAAGCACGTACTGTTCGAGAATCGTTCGAACGTCATCAGTTGTCAGTCGTATGCAAACCGTTTTTCAATCATTAACAAGGGGTTTGGCGGCTGAATTAACGAGCATCTAAGCTTTCTTGACGAGGACGGGCTTAATGGGTTTCCTTCACTTGTGCCATAACTGCCTTACACCGCGGAATTACCATCACCGGCCTAAATGGCTCATGAATCTTGGCCAGGGATTCAGGCTGTCAGGTGGGGGGGGGGGCTGTCACCTGAGTGGACAGCGCTTCAGATTCGCAGTCCTGAGGGCCCGGGGTCGATCTCCGGTGGAGGCGGAAACAAATGGGCAGAGTTTCTTTCACCCTGATGCCCCTGTTACCTAGCAGTAAATAGGTACCTGGGAGTTAGACAGCTGCTACGGGCTGCTTCCTGGTGGTGTATAACAGAAAGGAGGCCCTGGTTGAGACCGGGCCTCAGGGACGCTAAGCCCCGAAATCATCTCAAGATAACCTCAAGATGGATACCTGATCAACCAGACTGTGACTCATACATCAGGCTGCAAGCAGCCACGTCCAACAACCTAGTTGACCAAACCATCAACTAGGAGACCAGGTCGAGGACCGGGCCGCGGGGGACGCAAAGCCCCGGAATCCTGGCAAGGTAAGGTAATGGAGTCTTAAGTTCCGTTCTTCAAGTTCAAGTATGTTTATTGAGACAAGAAAGAAATACATCTCAAAGGGATAGAGTAGCTTAGGCTATTTCTACCCCCCCCCCCCCCCACGTGTGGCGGGGTCTCCACACTACCTCTCACTCTCATAGCCTTACATTCCTCCGTTCTTGAAGGGCTTGGCGTGGGTGGTACGTGAGACAGTCTATTGATCCTCACAATACAAGAAGAAAGTGTAGTAAGGGCTTATAGTCCGGTGAGTTTTGTGGAGAGGCGACCTTAAACAAGGAAGGAAGAGCCACAGCGCGACAAAGATCAGGTCTCTGTGGGACCAACATTAATTAAGGACTTAACAGGATCATCATGACCAGTCTTTCTTTTGTAACTTTTCTGCGCTGGCAAGGCTGTCTGCCTCATATATATATATATATATATATATATATATATATATATATATATATATATATATATATATATATATATATATATATATATATATATATATATATATAATCATTCGTTCAATCATTGTTTCTGAAGATGTATTAATATACGAAAGTACTTAAGGAAATTCCTGTTGTGAATTTCCTCATTCCTCATTCTACATGAGAATGAAGTGCAATATTGACAGTTGAGAGGCGGGGCGAAAGAGCAAAGCTCAACCTCCGCAAACACAACTAGGTGAATACACACACACACACACACACACACACACACACACACACACACACACACACACACACACACACACACACACACACACACACACACACACACACACACGTTCTCTCACAAATTCAGCCCGTCCTCCAAAAATGGGGAGGTAAATGTAACAGCCCCATAAGTGCAATTATGTACTATGGATGACAGTCAGGAAATGTACTTAATACACTTAGTAATAAGACGTACTGTCAATTCGGAGGATGGGTTGCACGTCGCTTTTCGCTCGTATGCGCTACGGCCAAATATCGACGTAATTCAAAATAAAAATTTATTTTCCAATTAAATTTTGAATTTTTGTTTTTTCCAAAACAGCAAGTTAAGGGTCCGCTGGGAGGTTAGGAGGGCAGGAAGTTCTCCTGAGGTTTCAAAACGGCATGAAAACCGTTAACTGAAAGTTTCCTCTCCTAACAGACTAAGCCAGAGGACCCAAAACAGAAAACAGTACAGTACGTCACTTTCGTGAGCCGATTTTGTTTTGAATTACGTCGATTTTTATCCCTGGGTGCGCATACGACCGAAGAGCGACTTAATTGTTTAGAGGACGGGTTGCATCTGTTACCTATCGTACGTTACGGCTCGTGATCCTACAGCAGCCAAACTTTAATAAGTCTAGGGATACGACACAACTGCTGTTCTCAATAGCGAATCACCAGTATAACCCCTTGAATTGGTAATGAGCATAAAATAGAATCTTCATAGGACTGAAGAATAAAGACTAAGCATATGTATATAATTTATATTAAATAAATCTCAAAGGCAAACAGATGATTATATGGTCACAATATATCACATTAAAAATATCACTGTAACTTCCAGACATTAAATCAATACTAAGAATAATTATATGGCTAGAACAAAAGAATGACTTATCTCCAAAATGTTGTTCTCTCCCTGGCTTCTGCTCAGCTACTAAACAAGATCACGCGAGAATCAAAAGAGATTGCCTCGCCCCGCGAATAAATTGCCAAAGTTACAATTATTAATATTTCAACAATGGAGCACTACATTGTGACAAGAGTAATCTTAAACTAACTTAAGGAATAATTAGTACATATTGATATACACAAACAAAAGGTAATTATTCTTTACATAGTAATTAAAATATGCATACAGAATAGCATAATGGCATGCACACCCCAGCAACGGACGATCCCACGACAATTTGCCAGATACAGTTCACTCAATTATTATTTCACTGTTACCCACTTATGATCACATATAAATCATTAGTTCCCGTGGGAAAACTGATCACACAAAGAAATAAACAATCATTCCCACGATACGCTGGGCCTAACGCCAACACTGTAACATGAATGTGCATTTGTATA